GGGTGGGGGTTAAGGAGGAAACATAAAAAGGGGTTTTGGGGGGGGGGGGGGGGGGGCTAGGGTTATAGGAAGGAACTTGCAAAGGTCTGAATCTTATTACTTGTTAAGAGGCAACACAGTCTGAAGGTGCCCACAGAGACAATCTAATGTCTATAGACAATATTGTCAGAAGCAAAAGCTTTGGACAAGTTGGAAAACCCTCTCTGATCACTATTGTTTTTCCTGATCAGTCAGTGCAGGTGGCGTCTGCGGTGAGCCTTGTTCACTCTGCTGTATGAGTCAAAAAACAAAATGGTTACATGAGGTGGCCGCAACATATCCGACCACCCACTAAAATGTCTATGGTAGCCCTAAAGCTGCTTTTACACCAGTTATATTTTATTTAATAGATACGGTAAGTGCCAGACTGGATATAAACAGCATAGCGTGCAGCTTAAGGTATATCCTGTCACTAAATATTTATATATACTGATACTAGCAAGATGAAGCTTGAATTACTTGGGATACCTACCATCAAGGGTAACTTTTTTCCTCTCCACCTCTTTCTTATACTCTTCCAGCTCCTGGTCTGTCAGCTGGCTGAATGGGTTAGGTGGCTCTGGTTCAGGTGAGACTTCTTCTGCAGGCTGTTCATTGAGCTCTGCTTCTGTTTTGGTAGCTAGATGACTGTCTGTAGACTGCAAGTACAGGGCTGGGTTAAAAGGTTTGCAGTGAAGTACAGAACTGCCTTAGAGAAAATAGAGGGTATTCACAAATCATCACTTTAATTTATCCAAAATGGGGCATACATACATCGATTGGTTTTCCAAGTGAAGACACCTGATATTAAGGAATGATCTTCTATACTCGCACTGTTGCTGATCAGTCAGTTTTAGTCTTATCTGATTTAATGGCTCAATATACTAGAAACAAGGCAGCCTGTGCTCTTCTGTCTTTGGTTGATCGTAAAATTAAAGTGACATTAAACCCTCAGATTTTTTAACATAAAACAATACTGTAATGTGCGCCTTACTGTAATCCATGATTGTTTCCCTTCTCTTTGCTGCTCTTCCTTTTAAATCTGCATCTGTTCTCATGCGGGGCAGAACTTCTGTTTTGCAACAGACTGCCTTGTCTCTGAAATGGATACATGGTGTCTGTGTGTAGGTTTGCAACCTGAGCCAGCACTACAGGAAGAGGCACTCAGCTGCAAAGGGAAGTTCTCCCCCAGCATGAGAAGACATGAGGATTTAAAAGGAAGAGCAGTAAAGAGAAGGGAAACTACCATGGATTACAGTAAGGCACACATTACAGTATTGGTTTATGTTAAAAAAATCTGAGGGTTTAATGTCACTTTAATAATACATAATGCTGAATCTTTTTTTCTTTTTAAAGAAAAGATTTGCTTTATATGACATAGGGATTGGCTCCTATTAAAAACAATTTCCCACATTTAGTTCTTGAGCTGTGGGATACGTCATCTGGTGATTTAAACCAGAGTGTGGACCTGACCCGAATTCCATAGCAGCAACAGGTTTTTGTTGTTGTTTGAACTGGTGATTCAAATCATCAGCCTCTCCAAAAATATGAAATGTTAGTCTTGGGTGGACCAACCTTTTAATGGTCTTCTATAGTAAAGTTAAGGAGAAATACATAGATAAAAGTCTAAATTTAATATATGCATTTAATTGGAAAAAAAAAAAAGACTTCCTATTTAACTCCAACCATATACAGTACTATGGTTACAGCAAAATGAGCAAAACGAGCTCCATGAAAAATTGTTATTGCTAAACATAATCAAGATGTACATAAGCAAACATGTGCAGTCAATTCATCACACTTTTACTGGTGATTACTTACAGAAAAAAATTAATGTAGCAGCATACCTTTATAAAGTTGCTTATTTGTCATCTCCTTTTTGTGTCTAGGCTGTCTTTTCGGATAAATGAACCTCTGAACTTTAATTTTTGTCTATCACATGGCTATTTTGCATTGCAATGTCTCATTGGTAGTCAAGAGTAGCCACACTATTGTGTTTGTGCCCAGCTAGGACTACAATTTTATGTGGCGACACGCACAGGCTGCACACAAGACCTCAATTCAATAAATTGCATTTACTTTACGGATATCACTCAGAGGAACTTGGAACGTGTATTTCCAATGCATGAGGCCACATGAGAAATCACTGACATGCCAGTTCTCCCTCCCCAACCAGCAGTTCAGGGAAGTGCTGCAAATAGGGAAGCGAATTAAAAAATGGCAAAAGTAAGCCTTCGGGGCAAAATACAAGACAACATTTTATATACAGTTAGTTGCCTGAAGCTTAACCTTTGGTTAACATAAAAGCTATTGTAGTAGCAATATATAGATGCATATAGCAATATAAACTCTGGAAAATGTGCCCATAATTGACAGGCAAAGGACAAAGTAATAGTTATTTGCTTTACTTGTAGGCTCTCTGCAGCTGATCTCTTCCCAATTGCTGGTTTACTATGCCTTATCATTGCTGTGTCTCTTTGTAGAAGCAGCCATTTTGGTAGAGGCAGGGCTTTGCTTCCTCGTGCCAGAGCCTCCAGCAAGGCAAACAGTGATTAGCCGTCAGAGGCACATTGCCGTCGATTTACACTGCATATATACAGCTATGAGGCTGTAGGCACAGGAGTTTTGAGGCATCCTCACATACCAAAAAGTGCTCTGCTATTTTCCAGGAGAAATTCCAGGCAAATTAACATCTTTCAAGGTATTGCTTAGGCACATATAACATGTCTTATAATTATCTATAGCAAATCTTCACTTTTTGAATTCAGGTTGACTTTAACCCCTTCATGACTGAGGCCCTTTTTTCCATTTTTGCACCCATGTTATACTCCACATTTTAGGCCTGAAAATGATGTAAAACCCCCCAACATTATATATTTTCTGAATGCCAAGACCCTATAGAATAAAATGGTGGTAGTTGAAAATTTTTATGTTGCGCAATATTAGCGCAACTCCTTATTAAACCCCAAAATTTAGTGACAAATTTAATTAAATGCCCCAAAACACAACAAATTACCCATTTTTTTAATGAAATATAAAAGATGAGGTTACAACGAGTAAAACGATACCCAACATGCCCAGTTTACAGATTGTGTGCGACCGTGAAACGGCGAAAAACTGCAGTACCCCAAAAAATCAATCAAAGACACATTTTAAAAGCCCCCACAGGTCATCAATTTAGAGATACCCCAAAATACTGGCCCTAGAATTATTGCTCTCACTCCGGCGTGCGCGGCGATACCCAACATGTGTAGCGCGTTCGTCGTTTTCATGCGTAGGCGCACCCGACGCGTGTTTACGTGGCGACGCGCGTGCTCGCGGGGGCGGGGTACTTTTAAATTTTTTTTTTTTTTTATTAGATTTATTTTATTTCATTTTAATTTTAAAAACTGTTTTTTTTTTTTTTTTTACTTTACTTTGACTGCTATCACATGGGGGGGCTTGCAAGCCCCCCCATGTAATAGCAGATGGTGGTGACAGGTCCTCTTTAAGGTGATGCTGGGGGTCCAAAAGACCCTCAGTGTCACCTTTACACTGGAAATAAGCTATTGAAGTGCAGATCGCACTTCAATAGCTTATAGCTGGGCTGCAGGAGCCCAGAACTGACAGCCCAGGGACCGGAAGTGATGCAATCTGCATCGCTCCCGGTCCCATAGAACGGGGAGGGGATCGATGAACGGAAGTTCGTCGACCTCCTCCCCAGCTCCCCGCGGACACAAAGATCGCCGGTCCCGGGCCCGTAGGAGGGGCAACGGAGCCCGGGAAGCACGGCGGGGGTGTCCGGGGGGGGGGGCGGCCCCTTCTTCGGGACGCAGAAGCGATCTGGCGACAGGTAAGTCGCCAGGATCGCTTCTGTTGTAAAGCCGACAGTCGGCTCTACAAGTTTAAACAGAGTCCCGGCGGCAAAAGTCGCCGGGAGTCTGTTTAAACAGCCCCGATGCTGGCGACGTACACTGTACGTCGTCAGTCACGAAGGGGTTAATAATTTGAATATGCTCAGTACACTTAAGGGTAGCACCCACTTTTATCATAATTAACTTACATATGCATAACAGAACCCAGTGGAAGGTGTGCTGCTTTTTCTAAATACTGTACATAGAAATTAGTCTTTTATAGTGTATCCTCCTTTGGACATTCATAGACCATGTATGCATATGTAAATTCTAGGAATGCACCGATACCAGTTTTTCGGTATCGAGTACGAGTACTGATTTTCTTCCCGGTACTCACCGATACATAATACCGATACCAGAAGTCCCATTGAGGAAGCCCGGCGGCGTGTAATGACTCACCGCCCCGTCTTCCTGATTAGCCGAGAAGCCTCCATGCTCCCTCGTCACCAAGTGACCGGGAAGCATAGGGCTGGTTTTCTGGCCAATCAGGAAGCTGGGCGGCGTGTAATGACTTGCCACCAGGCTTCCTGATACCAGAAGTTCTGGTATCGCATAAGAATCGGGAGCATTTGGGCGAGTAGGAGTACTCGCCCAAATACTCGGTATCGGCACCGGTACCAATACTAGTATCAGTATTGGTATATCCCTAGTAAATTCCAACTCAGATAGGCAACTGATTCAGTGGAAGCATGCTCTACTGTATTTATATTTATAAAATTATTGTTAAATGTACAACTTTTTTACATCCCTTTAAAAGCTCCAGCCTGCTTTAGTATCAGGCAGCAATGGTTGGCTAGATAAGCAAAGTAAAGCTGGTCACATATGGAGGTGATATGCAGTGATACAGTATGTAGATCTGCCAGGGCTGCCACTGCTTGATGTAGAGGAGTCAGCCTGCTACATACCAATAAAGTGTCTTAGGTCACATCAGTCCTGTGTTCAGTGAAAGTTTCAGCCTTAAAGGAGAACTATGCGGTTAATGCTTTTCCCCATAGTTATCCTTAGGGTAACAGGAGGACACAAACTAGCGTCCTCCCGTCACCCCAGGCTCAGTATACCGCGAGCAGGAGCTTGCGTTATACTGCGGCGTCTTCAGCTGAGACGCCGCAGCTGAAGCGGATCCCGACAATTATGTCTGGATCCGCCCAGCTGTGTGACTGACAGCTGGCTCTGCCTATCTAGATAGGCAGAGCCAGCTGTACCCGTCCCCTCCCCGTCCGGTCCGCCAGTCAGCACTGGCAGATGGGAGCCCCTCCCCTGTCACGGCAGAGAGCCGTGACAGGATCGAGAGGTGAGCGAACGCCGGTATGTGTTCGCTTACCTCCCGATCTACTAAGCCGGCCTGTGACAGTCTCATTGTCACAGGTCGGCTAGAGCTATGAGGTGAGTGAAAAGCACTCCCCTCATAGTTTTCCTTTAAAGGGGAACTATGGGGTCAGGGCTTTTCCCCAAAGTTCTCCTAAGCTTAACGGGAGGACACAAACTAGCGTCCTCCCGTCACCCTAAGCTCAATATACCGCGAGCTACAGCTCACGGTATAATGAGGCGCTGCAGCCGGGACGGATCCCGACATTACTGTCGAGATCCACCCAGCTGCGGGATTGACAGCTGGCTCTGCCTATCTAGAGGCAGAGCCAGCTGTGCCCGCTCCCCTCCCCCGTCCGTTCCGCCAGTCAGTGCTGGAGGATCGGAAAGGGGAGGGGGGAATCCCTTCAGGGAGCCGTGAGTGACAGTCACAGCTCTCTGCAGCGATAGATCGAGAAGTGAGCAAGCGGCGGTATGTGTTCGCTCACTTCCCCATCTATTGAGCCGACCTGTGACAGCTTAATTGTCACAGGTCGGCTAGAACAATGAGGCTGAGTGATTTTCACTTGCCTCATAATTCTCCTTTAAGACGTGGAATTTTTAAACAGGTAAATAATACTGAACATGTCCTGTACTTTCACTGTATTCTACTTTGATCATTTAAAATTGTCACATAAAAAAAAAAAATACTTGTACCGGACTTCTGCTTTTATCAGTAATTACACCGGCTAATAGCTGGGACTGGGGACCAGCAGACTTTACATCTTGACGATTTTGTTCTCGGATCTGTAAAAAAAAAAAAAACAATTACTAAGCATCATAGGTACAGATGTAATGTGCTGCTGCCACCCTATTAGGGCTTTCTTTGTCAATAAGTGCAAACACAAATTCAGTCTTGGCCTAGAAACAATGATATATAAGAAAAAAATGAATTTGAAAACAGTTGCTGGAGCGTGGGAAAGGGGAGGGTGGAATCCCTTCAGGGAGCCGTGAGTGACAGTCACAGCTCTCTGCAGCGATAGATCGAGAAGTGAGCAAGCGGCGGTATGTGTTCGCTCACTTCCCCATCTATTGAGCCGACCTGTGACAGCTTAATTGTCACAGGTCGGCTAGAACAATGAGGCTGAGTGATTTTCACTTGCCTCATAATTCTCCTTTAAGACGTGGAATTTTTAAACAGGTAAATAATACTGAACATGTCCTGTACTTTCACTGTATTCTACTTTGATCATTTAAAATTGTCACATAAAAAAAAAAAATACTTGTACCGGACTTCTGCTTTTATCAGTAATTACACCGGCTAATAGCTGGGACTGGGGACCAGCAGACTTTACATCTTGACGATTTTGTTCTCGGATCTGTAAAAAAAAAAAAAACAATTACTAAGCATCATAGGTACAGATGTAATGTGCTGCTGCCACCCTATTAGGGCTTTCTTTGTCAATAAGTGCAAACACAAATTCAGTCTTGGCCTAGAAACAATGATATATAAGAAAAAAATGAATTTGAAAACAGTACATTCATTTGTAAATGTTGTAAAATGCTGAGCCCAAATATTACATTGACCATTTTTTTTACTGCAGTGTAAATATAAGTTAAGTCTTAAAAAGTGTATGATACTTTAACCACTTGCTGACCGGAGCAGTTTCTTACTATTTGCACACACATGATAAAATCTGAATTTTTGGCTAGAAAACAGCCCTGTAGAATAAAAAAACAACCTGTAGAATTAAAAAAATCTAGTTGCAGTTTTTTATGTCACACAGTATTTGCGCAAATTTTTATCAGACCAGTATTTTTAGGATAAAATACATCAAAATAAATGTAATGCACAGAAACAGAATATAATACCTAATTTTCTGGTAAATTATAAGATATGGGGTCACGTCAGGTAAATAGATACCAAACATGTCAAATCTTAAAATTGCGTGCCCCCTTGAAACCTACAATACCTGAAATGTCCTGTAGACAATGTATTAAAAACTTTTATTGCTCATCAGTTTAGTATTAACAGTAAGTGATGGCCCTAGAATTATTGTTTTCATTGCTGCAAAATGTGACATGTGTGGCACAATTTTAGTTTTTGCACGTAGGCTCACCTGACGCGTGTTTGCGTTAGTATGTGCGTGTACATGGGGGCGGAGGACTTAAAAAAATATGTTTTGCCTTTTTTTATATGTTATATTAATTAATTAATTTTTACACTTAACAAGCCCCCTTTCTCTAGCAAGCCCCCCATGTAATAGCAAATATGATGTTATGATATGATGTTATGATATGTGATATGATAATGTCACCTAGGGACCCCAAAGAAGCTGATGAAGCAAAGATTTGCTTCACCAGCTTCTTCTCCAGGCTCTAGGACCCGGAGAATATAAACAGTGACACTGGAAGCGATGTAATACACACCACTTCCGGGTCCAGTGAACGGAGGAGAGATCAGTGGCTAGAAGCTTGCTGATCTCCCTCTGATCAGTGAGGGGAGACCTGTCATGCTGGTCCCGGGCCCGCATGGGGGACAACGGAGCCTGGGGTAGCTGGCAGTGGAACTGTACAAGCGCCGGATCACTTGTACCTGAACAGCCATCACCAGCTGTTTAAAACGGTACCTGCTGCAGCCGTGTTCTTGGTATAACCGCTTCTAGGGAGGACGTGTGTTTACGTGAACTCGCTTGAAGTGGTTAAAGAAGAATTATGGGGTGAGTGAAAAACACTTATCCCCATAATTCAAGCCGGCCTGTGACACTGAGATCGGGAACTCAGTGAACACATACCGCCGATCACTGACTTCCAGATCATCTCCCTGCAGAGAATGGTGACTGTCAGTCATACCTCCATGCAGGGATTGCCTCCTCTCTGTTTCTCCAGCGCTGACTGGTGGAACGAAAGGGGAGAGCACAGCTGGCTCTGGCTCTAGATAGGCAGAGCCAGCTGTCAATCAGCCAGTTGGGTGGATCTCGACAGTATTGTCAGCATCCATCCCGGCTGTGGAGCGGCCTGTGTGCTCTCAGTACATAGCGGGCAATAGCCCGCTATATACTGAATCTTGGGTCACCGGAGGACACAGTATATGACCTCCCGTGACTCTGAGGAGAACTATAGGCAAAAAAGGTTGTCCCATAATTCTCCTTTAGATATACTTGTTATTTTTGTAATATTTCCAGCTTCATTCAGGCCAGATATTATAACTCTTACTGCGGTAGGAAAGCTGCAGTCCTCATACACAGCCTGCATACTCCCCTGAAGACGTCTTGACGCATAGGGGCGGGTCTATCTTGCACCATACCAAACACTGAAGTACTGATTGTTGTACTACCTGACCGGCCGGCTGTGATTTTGTAACGCATTTTAAATTGAAACCTTTTAATAAATTGTTCTTGGAAATACGACACAATTAGGAGCTTTTTCTTTCTATGACTACGGGGATACTTTGTTTTCTGGACATCGATCTAAAAGGGTATACTGAAGACGCTGCAACGCCGTGAGTTATCAGACAAACGCCTTCCTTGGCTGTTTGCTATAGCCAACACATTGCGGTGAGTGCGCACTCTTGCGGGGGTAGAAAAGAAATATAAGGGGGTAGAGGGGTCTTGAGGGGGTAGACGCGTGACACCTATACAATCTCCAGCAAACTTCACTAAACTCCTGGTCTTCTGGAGGCTTCACATTATTGCACATATCGGAGATATATATTTTGCAGACTTTTTTTCATAATATTTATATCATGGACTGTTCACGTTATAGATGATATTAGCACTTAAGGGGCATGTGTGGTCATTTATCACTTGCGAGCATAATCAATTCCATTCTTTGTATTTATGTATTAGGATATTGATGTACAGCGATTTTTTTGCACCTTTGCATATTTTGCACGTTTCAAAATGTTTGCACTTAATAAATAGAGTAATCACATATATTTATTTAACATCAATTATTATATAAAATTAACACTTATAACCATTTTATTGATATACACATCATCATGAATGTATGTTAATGTGATAAATAAGGGATAGTCACCATTCTTAGCACTAGACCCAATCTTTCTTGCACATTTTGCCTATTTTTGCACGTTTCATTGAGGTTAGCACCTATTATAATAGAGCGCCCTTCATCAATTTTATTTATTTATTGGTTTATATTCCCATCACGGATATTAGACTTACACACGGCAGGTGAGAGGGGGTTTATACCCTAATATGATATCACAGAAATAGATGCATTCCTTCTTCAATTGAACTATTAGCGCTGTATATTTAGTAAAACAGGCAGGATTTGAATACTGACATGATATTTACCTTGTTTCTGGTCTCCAATACTTCACGTGGATCTGTAAAGAGTGGCACAAACTGGTTGGAGTTCTCAATACGGATGGGCATGCCACTACTAGGCTTCACCACTTCATCTGCCTTCATCCACTACAGGAAGAAGAAGAGAGGTAATGATTATAAAAAAGACCCTTTCCAGAACATGCACTATCATAGTTACTTTATCTGTCATTCATGTAGCACTGTTGTGTTATACATCCTTTATAGATAATGAAGTATACAGTGATGAAATGAAAATCTGTTAATGCTGCTATTTGAGTGTATATAATGGAGCTGGCCTATCCTATGTCTTGTGGCTTCCTACCGTGGTTTTGCTGCTCCTCGGGGTGCTCACACTGTCTTCATCCACACTGACTCGTAGGTAGGTGTTGGGAGTGTTCAGCCAGCGTGTCTTCTCTTTCTGTTGCTTTTGGGCATGCTGCCGCAATGTGGGGATAGGGACGCCTTCCTCTTCAAAAAAGAATGCAGTTACTGTGGCTGGGATCTCCACATCACTCTTGTGTCTTGTCTTTTCTTGCATAAACGGGTGGCGGTAAGTATAACCCGTACGGTAACCCTGTTAGAGATAATGAAATTCATATGTATCTGATAACTCAGTTGTGCCTTTTTGTGCCTATTGTTGTTTCAAGGAAACAGGGAAGACTGAAAGATATGTAAGCTGTCATTGCTAACAATCTTTTATGGCAGCTACTTGCCTAGTTTTTTCCAGTTTCATTAGTTTCTTTATCACAGACCTAAAGCAAGTATGTAGCTAGTGATGCTGGAGTAAAGTCAGGAATCCTGATTTTCATCATCATTGAGTCATTGACTTAAAAAGTACTTAAATTATTGGATCAGAATCACAGAGAGGCAATTAGTATTTACGAGTGGAGAGATCAGCAATGGAAGTCTTTGTTTTTCTCTCAGCACCTTCTTTATTCCAAAAGCTGAGGCCTCGTTCACACCATGCTCACTGTGTTCCGGCCCATTGTGGCCAGAACACACTGCATTGTGGCCGTCTCAGTTTGTTGTGGGGCGGGAGGGGGCGTGGCTGCTGTGCCATTCACTTCAACGCACCGCCACACCCCCTCCCGCCCCACAACAAACTGAGTTGGCCACAATGCAAGGCAGTGTGTTGAAGTGAATGGCACTGCAGCCACGCCCCCCGGTGATCAGCCGCACGGGAACGCAAGGCACATCAATGCCTGCGGTCTGGTCTGGTCCGAAAAAATAGTACTTGCAGCATTTTTTTGGGACCAGCCCGGACCAGACCGCAGGCATTGCGTTCCTGTGCGGCCGATCGCATTGCAGCCGGAGGGCGTGGCTGCGGTGCCATTCACTTCATCGCACCACCACGCCCCTTCCAGCCCCACAACAAACTGAGCCGGCCGCAATGTGATCCAGTGCGTTCCGGCCAGAATCAGGCTGGAACACACTGAATATGGTTTGAACAAGGCCTGAAAGTGAGCTTGTGACAACAGACATGGGCACAAAACATGATCTGAACATAAAAGCAGGCGACTTTTGACACCAGAAGCTACCACTAGTATTACTCTCTGTATCTTCTTCTGCACTCATGGAATTTATGAACTGCTTAAGTAGGGTATACATGGTTAGATTTTTGGGGACGAAAAATCTCGTCGGAATGTTCAATACTGGCATCAGAAACGTGTGGATTGTTGTTCGAAATTTCGTTCAATTTTCATTTTTATTTCACATTCGATTTTGGAATGAATGGAGTTTCCGAATGAAAACCACGTTCACTCTTAGAAATTCGTTCGATTGAGAAAAATTTAACATGCTCCTTCTAATTTTTTCGCTACTGTGGTCGAAATCGATCATGGATTTGACCTCATTAACGATTAGAAAGTCGAACGAACATTCTCAACTTGATTTTGTACATTCTAAATTCTAACCATGTATACCTAATTCATTATCATTGTGTTCACAAGCAAAGGCACACTCCTGCACCTCATGTAACTGTGCCTGGGCCTAGATATAGGTTGCTCAAGCACCAAGCATTGGACGGTACCCATAGTGCTAAATGTTCCGACTCATAGTCAAAGGAAAAAAAGTACAGAGAAAAGGATAAGAGAAAATGTCAGTTATATACTGTATAGAGCCTTACAGGCATGTGGAATATGGAGCCTTATGAAATACTAATGGCACTGGAAATCCTCTGTTGCTACTAAAAGATGACTGTTGAAACCCATGATCCCAGACATTTTTATTATTACCTTTATTATTATTAATAATTATTACTACTGTATTGCTGGTAATAGTAGCTACTCTAGCAACCTGCCTCAACCTTCTTAGAATAATACTAATAACTAATAATACGATTACTCAGGGGCGTCCCGAGTTTGGGTGACACCCGGAGCGGTAACCGAGTGTCACCGCGCCTAGACGTCATCGCGCACGCGCGGGAGTATTCTGATACCTGACGGCGGCCATCTTGGTGATGGACGCCGGCAGAGAGAGAAGGGGACAGTCACCCGGCGGGATAAGGTATGCCGCCGGGTCCCCTCCTCTCTCCCGATACTGTCGGGCGTTCGGTCCATGACCGAGCGCCCGACTTTTCAGAGGGGGGTGACACCAAAATGACTGTAAGTCATTTTGGTGTCACCCCTCCAATGGTGTCACCAGGGTGCGGGCCGCACCCCCCTTGTGACGCCACTGCGATTACTGCATTTTACTATTCCAGAGAGCAGTGACAAATAAAACATCTGGTTGTTGGTCGAAGTTATAAGATGACAATCTAACAATGTATACCAAGTATTACAAAATGTGTAAGGGAACGTTTATCTGCTTTAGAAATGTCCTTTTTATGAATAAGACTCTCCATGTAGACAGATACATCATACAACGTGGAGCAACTTGAGGGAAAGATTCTTCCTGGACTTTAATGATAGTTCCGAATTGAATCATTGTAAAAGAGACAAAGGTTCTTGATTCAAAGTCATCACTGTATCTAATAGCAAAGGCCCCTGGATACCAGGAAAGAAGTCTCAAATTAAGTTGAGTTGGGTTATTTTTTCCTTGTCTGTAAATTATTAAATGTAGATTTAAAGCAAAAACATCCCTCTTAATCCTGGCAGCCTTGCACCCATATTATAATAAAATACAAAAAAAGATGCTGTGAAGATGTTTTTCTTGGCTCCCATTATGATGGCCATGTACTTATTCACTTGGTCACATGACTTCAACTAATGTGGAAAACTAGCCAGGGACTGGCCAGCTCTACCTGAAGGTTAGTCCTTTAGCCTGAAGCCAAGACTATGACCAGCTGCTATGGAGCCTGAGTTTTTGCAGCCCAGGTATTATGTATTTTTATTATATTATTATAATAACTAATAATAGTGATTACACCTTTTTTAATTTCCAGAAAGTGGTGCACACTTACCAAATTATCCATCATTCTCATTAAAGCCTCAAACTCATGTTCACCAAGTCGGCTCTTCTGCATAGGTCCAAACTTGCTGCCAGCCCAACCAACTGTACCCGCCTCATGTGGGCGATATTTATCTCTGTCCAGCAGGATGAGGTTCTCTGGTCCTCCTGCACAAGGTACAGCAGATGCCTGAAACAAATGTTTATTTTCAGTTAGTACATAGCTGACATATGACTTGGCAAAGGATCTGGTATGAAAGGGCCATGTATAAAGAACCAACAACTATAGAGATAAGTAGTTCTGACACTTATTTGCAGCATGCTTGTTCAGAGACTGTAACTGAAGCATACCAAGGTCAGACACACTGAGGCAGCTATCATTTTCAGAGGTAAGCCTGCAATTGTAACCCTTGAACTTCTCTTATGACCGAGCTACTTAAAGTGTGAGGGTGAGGATAAATGTTACAGAGGTGATAGGCATGGGGGGCATTGAGATTAAAGAGAAAAATACATTTGAGCTTCTTATTTAGAGCTTTATGCCTACACATGCCAACGCTAAGTTAAAAGCATTGAAAGGAAAGGCACAGCAAGAAAGGCCCCGTAAGGCATGCCTCTAGCTTCCGTTCTTCCTTGCACATATATCACACCTTGGTGAGAGCACCTGCTCAGCCTAGCCCTTTTAATACCCTCATGTGGGCTGTTTTGGTCTGCCTCTCAGTGCATGCACCCCTGCAATAAATTCCCTGAATTGTTTCCCCCAGCTTACTACTGATTGGTTGCCATCACTTTAAATGGGCATTACCTTCTCCCTATATCTGTCCTGATATAGGGTTCAGCTCCTGACCCTTGGGTGAGCTACCTGTTAGATATCTAAACTCTGTTGCTGACTTTAATTTGATCTGACTATTAAAACTTTGCTGCCTGGACCAACTTTTAGTCCATTACTTGACTATGACTCTAGTCTAACTCTCTGGATTAAGCTGCATATACATGGTTCTATTATTTTCATTCAACCCACAGACTGAATGAGAAAAATAGAACAGATTCCTCCAGCAACGCATACAAGCATTGATGGAGAATTCCTCTGCTGTTTCCTTTATATTCTGACAGCGGCTACCAGTGGCTGTCAGATTACCCAAATGAAGTAAGCAGCTGATAGGCGGCTAGCTCCATTCGAACAAGAATTTTCTAACTGGCTCCTTTGATCAGCTGATCAAGGAATGCTGGCCAGAAGGGTGCCGACAGCAGCACACAGGCAGCAAATTTTGGCTGGTTCATCAAGAACTGGCTGAAATTCAAAGCGTGTATAATCTACTTTAGCTGCCTGATTCTAAGCACTTTGGCCCCTTTCACACGGATGCCTGTCAGTTCCGACCAGCAGTGGATTCATGCACAAATGCATGAGAGGAGTACGGAAAGGATGTCACAATTGTAGAAATGTAATGGATCTGCTGGCAGGATTAACAGGTGATAAAACTACAGTATAATACAGAGGGGACAATTTATTGGAAATGTATTGGTGACATGGGATGAAGGTTAGTCCTCTGCATTATAATATATATAGATAGATGTAAATGATGGGAGAACCATGGAAGTCAACCAATAGCAACTGCGACATTTAATGAGATTAAAGCAGGCCCCCCCTGGGAGGTAAAATGACTTAATCACCTTGGTATAATTCATGAGTAAAAAAGCTGAAGAACAACTGAGAGGAGAACAAGCTAACAGCGACATTTGGTTTAATAGGATAAAAAACTAGTCCCCACAGGTCACCTTCCCCCAGATTACAAAAGCTGCTTTGAAATTCTCCAAGGTAATAAACAGATAATTGAATGGACATTTTTTTTTAGTACTAGGAGAGTGGAATTTCTATACCCCGTCTCTAGGTCTCCGTGAGTCTGTAAGCTGCTCAATTTAGTATTTCTGGTTTATTTTTCAAAACCTCCCAAGAAATTAAACTGAGTATTATGGATACAATCTGTAGACATTCTTACCAATAGGTATGCTGAGTTTTACAAGGAGATGGGTGTCCATGACCGTGGTGCAATTATTTAGCCTATGGTTAATTATTTATTCATACTTAACTCCCGTCAGTAATTTTTTTTAGTTTCGAATAGAGAAGGGAATCAGAGGGGACACAGAGCAGCACCCAGCGGGGAGCAGAGAAACCATGGATACACCGCAATTTTGGCCAAAAGATGGTACTTTTGGCATTTTGCCCAAAGTGCTATTTTCGGACGATATGTTTTGGTGGCTGACATTTCGGTGCATCCCTAGTTAGAACCTCTATGAAGCTTCTTTTTTTTATTGTCCATGACTCTCTACCCTCATTTTCCTGAAATTTGATTTTGGCAAAAATTGTGACATTTTGGTAATATTTCACCATTTTGGTGAGATGCATTGGAGTCAACAAAAAAGAGAAAATTAAAGTTTTGTTTTTTTTTCGTTTTAAGAGTGCAATTACTTTAAATGGTTCCTAAGGGTTATGAAATCTCTTTTCAATTATTCTGCATCTGTTCTTGTACCCACAAAAGGGCCCTATTTTAGACTTATGATTATATGTTTCCCAGAGAAAAAAAACAGACAGTAGAAAAAAGAAAAATGAAAGTGACATTACACAAAAAGGGGCAAACTCACAAGAAACAACATTGCGCAAATAACGATCAAGCCCACAAAAAAAAGATGAGAGGGGAAGTCTCATTACTGAAACACAAAACCATCTCTTCTATCTCTAGTTTAGTGGTCCACATACTGCCTCTGATAGCCTGATAGTATTAGGTTTTACTGAACCACAAGGGGCGGAGCTTGTACAAAAGGACATTATCATTTAGGTGTGCCTAAGGCAGCACAATGTCTAAGTACAGCAATTCATACAAATGATGTTGTTTTGCAAAGATAACAACCACACCCCCTCCAAAAAATGAATATAATGTATTGCAAAGCAAAATGTTAACCTTTTGTGGATTCTGTGTGTGCTATGTATGACTTGAAAAACTTCAACAAAGTACACGGTATGTACATAGCATGCCCTGTCATTCTTCCTTTCCACTCTTCCCGGCAAATCCCAGATGTCGAAATGACATTCAGGATTTGCCGTATATTACCGCAGCCATTGCTGCTGCTGTCAAAAATGGAGATTAAAAGAAGACCCATCCTGTCCGAAATGTGGCTTTCATTAAGGCTCTTTGATCCATTTATTATGGAGAAGCCCTAAATTAGTACGATATTGGCATCAAGTAATATCGCTATAGACTCTATATTTAAAATATCAGTGGATAATTCACCCCAAGTTTGTCTTTTAGGGATCTATGATTCTTTTTTTGATGAATCCCCAAATAGTGGCCTTTCAAAAAGCATTGTTCACCGCTAAAAGATGGGTGGTGCGGAAATGGGTATCTGTTTCCTCTCCAATGTTTTTGGAGTGGATTTCTGAATTAGATAGCACAGTAGAATACGAGCGTATACCAATATAGAGGTAAAAACAAGAAAACAGTGGTCCAAATGGTTGGCATGTCAAGTGAGGAATCTACATATATAGTATGCATTTTCCTTTTCAAAAGACAATATCACAGAAGCCTTGTCCCCCACCCAAAGAAAAAAAATCAATATATGTATTACTTTACTACTTTACTATTTTAAATAAAATGACAAAGCTATTGTGGAATCAATAGGCTCATAGCAGAAATTAACAAATTGCTCTGGTCCACTGGTCCATAAGGGGTATACAGGAGAGGGAGGGCTGAAGTGGTTAATATAGTAAAAAGGCCTCTTTTAGCAATTTAATTTGCAATCTGAGTTTCCTGTTACACAATGTTTTATGGTTCCATTAATCTTTGATTCATATAGACTATACCTGAATTTCACAAGCTGCCTGTAAGTGGAAAATCTTATAGAAAGCTTCCTCCACAGATTCACCTAGCGCCACAACACCGTGATTCCTCAAAACCAGGACCTGTGCAGGGTGACATTAAACAGTCTTCCGTTAACCAAAGCTGGCAATAAACAATACATTAAATTCAGTGATTTGTATAGGTAATTTAAGGACAAAGATATGACCCAACCTTGCAAGTGGGCCCCAAGCACTTCTGTAGTTCAATTCTGTCCTTCTCATCTTCCATGTCTCCATTGAAGTCATAGTATACCACCTCCCCTGCCACCAAAGCATCATGAGAGATAGGCAGGAGACCACATTTCATAGCTGACACCTACATTAAAAAAGGAGCTATTAGAGTCATGAAATATCGATGCTCCTATTAGAATTACTGGCACAACCATTTTAATGTTCTCCAGTGTAGTACTGTATAGTACAAGTTATCATATGTGATCTTACCGCAGTAGAAGCGGCTGTATGTAACTGGATGATACACTTCACATCGGGCCGTGCTGAGTAGATGGCAGAGTGCAAGCTGAAGTCCATAGTTTCCACCTCAAAGCTCGTGCTGCCAGCCTCTACCACCTCACCCAAAATGTTCACCTTTACCTGTAACAGATATTGCATAAAACTGGTTAAATCTGATGTATTTGCAGGTAAGTAATACTGTTCACAATAGACTATTTATTACAATGATGTGCTGAAATTACTACCTTTTGTGGCATTTAGTGCATAAGAAGTCAGATTTTAACATAGAAGTCAAAGATTATTACATGGGTGCTCCTAAAGCTATCACTAGCTTCTAGCCAGTATTACAGTAAGATGTCTATTGAGGAGAACAAGAAATGAAGCCTTTTAATATGGTGATAAAATAGCGACTCTTTAGAAGTTATATCTGTCTGTCATAAAGAAAAATAAAGATGCTACACCATTTATTTTTGTGAATTGCAACATTTGTATTTCAATCTGTTATTTTAATTTTTATGTTGCAAACAGTAGGAACTGGCATGCTATCCCATATATATATATATAGATATAGATCTATAGATCTATATCTATATATATATATATTTAAACATGAAGGCTTGTATCCTGAAGATCATGTATTACAATATCACGTCTCCAAGCCTATCTAAATGTGAGAAGGAACAAAGTCACATGCAGGGGTGTCCCTAAACCGTTCGCCACCTGAAGTGGGGGGCGGAGGACAGGTTTGCTGCTAGCTTGTGCACATTATGGGGGGGTGCTAGTGGTGCACGCTACCAAGGGGGCCTTGGGGCAGTTGTTCAACCCAAACCTGCCCAGCTCACTGATGTGACTGATTACCACAAGTTTAGCAGGACACTCTGGAGCAGGATGAAACTGGGAGCTAATGATAATATACAGTGGCGTAACCAGGGTATGGCACATATGACACATGCTCTGGGCGCCTTTTGAAGGGGGGTGCTGCTGCTGTATGGGTCAGCCAGTTTGCCAACCCACCTAGAGAGCAGACTTTTTCTCTCCACCCTCCCCTCTCCTATCCACATCTCCCCACCCGGCTCTTAGCAACCAGAGACTCTCTGGCTAGTGTCCCGTCTGGCTCCTGGCAACCAAAGATATCACTGAGGCAGGACACTGGCCAAAGTGGCCCAGGTTGCTAAGAGCTGGGCCGGGAAATGTGCAAGAGTCATACACATCTCCCCGTCCAGATGCCCAGATCTTAGCAACCTGGGACACTTTAGCCAGTGTCCCGCTCAGCTCCTGGCAACCAGTGGGCGCACTTTGTTGTAGATATGCCTCTGACTGTATATACTGTATATTCAGAACAAGGATGAGGACTGAATGATACAGTTAAGGTTTCCTGGAAATGGAAAGTATTTATTAAAAATATCTGCATGTGAAATAATGAACTTCATAGTTACACATTTGTACTCACAAGGAATGCCGCAGTCACTTCATTACAAGCTACTCCTCGGGGGTTTATTAAGAAATGATCTTGTTCCTTATTTACTCTAATCTGCAATGAGATCATACATACAAACATGAGGAAAAAGACAAGACTGTATGACAATTGGTACAAGACTGTCCTGACAATGACCTGTACTGTAAAGTCAACAACCATCTGTATTGCTTCACGTCTAGATAATTACAACTTTTGCAGTGTTCATTGATGACATTAAATAATAAATATATGAATAGCCATTTTTTTAGTTATGGATATTATAAGGAAGGATAAAACTCCATTTTTTTTGTTGCTGTCTGTGTCTTGTTGGGAAGATTTCCCTTCCTGTCTCGGAGATGAGAGGCAATCTCTACAAAGTGAGGGGGATTCCTCTTTTACTGTTCACCAGAAAGGGAGACTCCAACCGGAAGACTTCCCCACTATTCCTGTTCTGGTGACTATGAAAATTCCTGATACTGTTTCAGTGACATTGGCCATCAAGTTGAATAAAGAGGAATCCCCACAATGCAGACACAGACAATAAAACATGTCAGGGCTTCTAATCCTTCCCTACCTTAGCCGAAACAAACAGAAATGTTGATTTAAATAAACTCTAGCCCATTCCTGCCAGCCGAATTCATATATGTGGTAGTACAGAGGTGGGCCTTATTCTGCACTGCCACATATATGTGTCACTGTACAGTATTGTGCTGGGAGAGCGAGCTCAATCACATACATCAGGCAATGTGACCGCACTGCCACTGACAGCTCCCGGTCACACAATGACGATCAGGAGCTGGTAGGATGGGCTCCTGATCACGTGATCACTGAGACAGCTGATCACAGCAATCGCATGATTAGGAAGCCCATTTAATGCTTTTGGCGGGTACCAGTGGCAAGGGGTAAATATGCTATCTATAGCCATGACTTTGTTTTTGTTTTTTTTTGATGGGTATACTGCTGTCTATGCTCCTGCTGGTGGGATTTTCCTCTTTTTGTGTCACCAGGAGAAATAGAAAAAACACTTTTTAGAGGCAGACATTTCAGGCTGACTTCATTTGCACATAGGGAAAGGTAAACATTTAGGGTAGTTTTAAACCACTGCATGGCGTGTGTTATGACCTGTGTTAAAGCAAGTTTGACACACATGCTGTGCATGTGTTTTGGTGGTGCTCTCATTCATTTCTAATGGGCTTCAAAAGAACATTAACCCAGTAAACAAGGCCCCGGACCCTTTATCACACCATTTACTGTGTTGGAAAAAAAAAGGGTCAGGTATGTTTTTTGGTGTATGGATGGTTGTTGAGGGCCCATAAAGAATAAATGTGCAGATGCAATGCAATGTGCACCAATGCAATAAAAAATGTTTGTCAATATGTATAATACCAAGCCTAGGTATAAATGGACCCTAAAGAAACCTTTTTTTTTTCTCTTTTTCATAATACTAACACCAGCTATATTTCTGTGAGATGACTATTCTTTATATATTGTCCCTGGTTAAAAGAAACCTATCACCATAGACATATAGGAACTGCCATTGCTGAGTTCTTTTGAAGGTGCATGCTCCATGGCTGTCATCTCCATCCTTGCATCACTAGCTGGTGAGTCGCATGTTTCCATTAATGCACTTTTTCCAGATCAGTAGTGAAGTAAGAATAAGTATGACAGCCCTAGGGCCTGTACCTTCAAAAACAAGTCAGCAATAGCAGCTCTCATATCTATCCTGATAGATTTTTTATGATAAAAATTAAACAATTGCAAAGTGACATAACCCATAGCAACCACTTGGCAATTATCTTTCATTATACCGAGTGCTCTAATTTGATAAAAGATGACCTTAATTTTTCCTCTGGTTGCATTGTTCTTTGCCCTGATTGTCACTACAAAACAGGTCAATACAGTTTTCATGATGCTAATGAGCATTCATAGGAAAAGCTTCTGGAGTTCTCTGCAGAATAGATCTAAATGGACAGCATGCTATTAAAACTAATTATAAGCGATATACATTTACACAGTAAGATCAAGCAACGTGAAGGCTTTATTGATCTGGAACCTTTCCTGGAAACAGGCCTAATAAAGACAAGACATGCTGCCAGAGTTACATCACTGGTGCCCATAAACACACCTACACTTTATTTTTCCATCACAAACAAGATTATAACAATACAAAGATGTAACAATGTTGCCAAATCTTTAGAATATCATCTTCTGAAGTGCCTCAAGTATGCAGGATTGTGTGCAGCAGCTTTCTATAGGAATCAAGGATGAGTCACTAAATTAATTGATGCCTACACTTCCTGAACAATAAGACCCCCTTCACACTAGCGAATAGGGGCGGAATGGGCGAGTCTCACGAGCTGCTCCATTAGACTCATGCACACAGCTACGGGTGGGAAGCACTGTACAAAGCCATGACAGCTGATAGTACCCGCAGCTAATCACAGCCCTTCACATGTAATCTGACGTGCTGTGTTTACCTGAGGATGATCGCCCCTGGACCCAAACAGTTTGCAGGTAATTACAGCATGTCCAATCGCATGTAGAGCTGAGGGCACATCAGTTGTCATTGCTTTGTATAGTGCTTCCCATCCGCAGCTGTTTGCATAAGTCTCACGGAGCAATTCATAAGACTCACCCAATAGGCCCCAATTGCAAGTTTGTAAGGGGCCTAAAGCTGGTCATACACTACAAATTTTGGCTGGTTCTTGATGACCTGGTCAAAATTCACACAGTGGGTGCCCCTGTTGGCACCCTTCCATTTATGTGAGTATTCTGACAGTGAAACAGGTGCCATTCTCAGAACGCAAAGGACACAGTGGAAGATTTGTCCATCCACATTGTTTAGCATGGATGGAGGAATCTGTTCTATTTATAACAGTGTATGACCAGCTTAAGACAAAGCAGGATCGAAGAAAAGTGTAGGCAAACGCCCATTGCCTCCATAGATTACTGCAGAAACATAATCAAAAGATGTTAAGGACCACCAATGACATAACCAAGGACCAAAGGTAGCCCATGGCCAACAGTTTGAGAAAAGCTGGACTATTCTTGCCATTAATGGAACTGGTTGCATTGGGTCAGGGCATATTTGAGCAGAAATATATCTTTTTCATCAGAGGATTTTATTAGGCGTTGATGCTGGCAGAGTCTTTAACCAAAAATGATAAGACAGAAGTGACTTACAGAAGCAATGGTACCGCTGAGCTGAGCCCACCCATACAGGTCTATGAGTCTGTAGACACTGGCAAGTTTGCATCGCAGTAGCCTCTCACCCTTTGCCAGAGGCACTGGCTCATTGCAGTGGAGGTCATTAATAGGTGCCACCATGGATGAGTCTGAAAAATAAAGTCACAGATTGTTAGTGTGTTCTAGTATGATTGGCTGGACAGAAGTACAAATTGTTTGGCAGATAAAACCTCTACTGTATATGTATGTCATATATGCATTTAGCTGTTTGCCTAGTTTAGCATAATAAGGTCAATCAATTCCAAATGATATCACTCTAGGCAACTTCGATGCTACCACCGGCAATGAGTACCAGGCCCAGTCTGGTTCTGCCTCCTCCCTGTAGCCACAAACAAACAAATGTCCTGGCTGCACACCACTGTTCTTTTATTCTTTAGTTTTAATAACCTTTATTAAACCCACTACATGGCCATCACTGCATCATTACTCCCGCAATATGTGACTCCTCCCCTATGTAGGGAGAAGTCACATCTGGTGGAAGTAATGGTGCAAGAATCGCCATGTAATAGTAGTGTAAAGAAAGTTTATTGAAACTAAAGAAAAAAGTACAGTGGTATGTGGCCCGAACTTTTATTTATTCTTACATAAGTTAGCAAATTGTCCTCTAGCTACCTTAATAAGTAAATATTACACCATATCTTCATCGGTCCATTGATTATAACCCCATAATCCACTGCAGCATCAAAAGAAGGATCCATGATGGATGTTTTTGGATGGTCATCCAGGGGCCAGGGATTCCATGCTCCTTTGGACCACCAGCTCACTTAACGACTTGGGCTTGCTGGCAAAACTAGTCAACAATTTTCCTTGTAAGTGTCAGCTTGGAGGAAACAGGTTGGATTTGCTACAAACACTGACTCACAAATTAATTCACTCTGCCCAACTTACTTAAGGAACTGTTACCCAAAACATCTGAAATAGGTATTTAGTGAACCACACACTGCTACTGCACTCCGCTAACCTGATTTACTAAATCTATGTTCACTTCAAGCATCCATTAAGCTTTAAGTAATTATTTTATTTTCCTTGGACATAATTGGGTGTTCAAAGTGAAGAGCCAATCATAGACAGGATACTGTATTTGCTTTGCATCCCTTCACATATGAGTAAATAAGGCTCCACGACGTTAGAAAGAATACTTAGTCACTCCTGTAAGGAGCAAGAAATATAACTAGGGTCCAAAGTTATCAGTTCTGCTGTGAGCGGCCGCTGTCTTTCCTCCCACACCGTAGATGGCACTTGCAGAGCCCCATCCTATTTCCTAGAGAAAAATAATTACCATTCTTTTAATTATGGCTGAGAAAAGACTGCAGGCTGTGCCCGTACCAGCAGCGTCCCCATACATAAAATGAAGGCACTTACTGACTGGACAGGTGGGGAAGACAGATGGTGCAGTGCTGGCCATGAAGTCAGCGATTTGCCGGAGGGCCCAAATATTGGATGAGTTGTTCCCCTTCTTCATCTGTTCCTGAATTAGACTTTCCAGCTCCTCCCTGAAAGACTGAGACAGCAAATGTATAAATATATATACAACATGTATAGCATTGCTACAAGAGTGAGATTTAAAGGGACTTATTATGCAATTCATAGGAAAGTACAGTAATCAACAGCAACCAAACCAAAATCATCATTCAATCAGAAAAAGTGAAGTATAATTCTGCGCTTTAATATGACATTGCCTATTGCATTGTCTCTGTGGATAAACTTACTTTTGTTTTATTTATTAATGTGAAAATCATAATGCATGACAGTCAAATGTTTAGCCTTATCTACCTTTTGCAGTTTAATGTTTCTGGACTAACGATTTTTGAATGGTTGTTATATATTATGATTGATTGCTCTTTGCTATCATAAATATAACAGTTTTTAACTTCTAACTCGTAATGTAAATAAGTACCTTTGTGCTCTAAAAGCCATATAAATGGCGCACTATACCCAACTAGGGATGCATCGGTATATCGTCCGAAAACGGCACTTATTGCTGAATGCCGAAAATGTTTTTGCCGATATAGTGGTGCATCCCTGCTTTCTTTCCTCCCCGATGGGCGCTGCTCTGTGTCCCAGCGGGGAGGAGAGAAACTGTCACAGATTGGAAGAGCAGTGTGGGGGCGGAGACAGCCAGCGCTCTCACAGGAGGCTGAGCTCTCCATTTGCACCGCTCGCTCAACCTCCTGTGACAGCAGATACAAGCAGTCAGTGATCAGTGATCGCTGAGTGTTTGTAAATAATTGAGGACAGAGTATGGTTACTATATCCTCAATTATGAATGAATGGGAAGTGATCTACATCACCTACTGTTCATTCATAATTGTAGTTATAGTAAACATACAGGAACACTCAGTATAGAGGATTCCTGTTCATTTATAACAGGGGATGCAGAAAAAGAGATTTTCTATTTTAAAAGGGAAATATCAGAGGTCTGTTTAGATCACTAATATTCCCCCGAAGCACCTAAAAGTAAAGTAAAAAATAAAAATAAAACATTTTTTTTAAAGTTTATAAAAAATAAATACAAATATTTGAAAAAATTTGAAAAAGTTAGAGAAAAAACCTTTTTTGGTTTCGGTTTCGGCCCGACATTTTTTTTCATTTCGGTTTTAAAATTTTCATTTTGGTGCACCTTTATACCCAACAGTATAAAAACATTGCTTGTTAGCTAGCCCGTAATACAAACTGTCATGGACAGGGCTCTGTATCCATTTAGAGAAGGACAATTAGTGTTATTGCAGGAGCATACCTAAGGTTAGAGAGGCAGCAGAAGGTACTGATGGTGAAATGTAGCAGGCCAGACAACTGTGGAGCATGCCAGAGATTGCACGGAGACATAGGTGTCACAAAGGTGCAGAGGGCGCACAAGGAGTTGCCGGATCACACAGGATGCTCTGGGTGCACTGGATGATGGGGCACCCTGGGGTCACAAGATGACACAGGATACTCTGGGGTGCACTGGATCACAGGGCATACTGGGGGGGTCACAAAATGACACAGTATATTCTGGGGTGCACTGGATCACAGAGGACCCTGGGGGTCACAAGATGAGATGGAATGCTCCGGAGTGAACTGGAATCATGGGTGCACTGGGGGTCAAAAGATGATACAGAACACTCAGGGGTCACTGGATGATACAGGATGCACAGGGCTCACTGGATGACACAGGATGCTTGGGGGTCGATGGATAACCAGAGGCCAGAAGGATGGCACAGAGGAGGCACTAGGGCTCAGGCAAGTACTGTAGCAGGAGTGGCTTGGCAGAAGCTTAGCGATGTATTGCTCGAATGTTGAGCCACTCATCGCTTCACAATTTAAAGCCTCACCAATCAGGAGAGATGTCTCCTGGCTGGTTGCAGTGCCAATCAAAAGACCTGGCTCCTGGTGAGGAGGTGAGTGTGACACAAGCACTACTACTGGCAGCTATGTAGCTGATGGCTACTTAAAGGAGATCTCCAGAAAATACAGTACAGTTTCCGGAGAGCTGTATCTGAGAAAGGACAGTACACTTGAACACATTATGCTAATCTCCCTCTGTCCTTTCTAGAGATAATGTGGAGTTCTCTTTTAACATGGGTATGCGCAGGATTAAAAGGAAGGATGTCTTTCTTTTGCAAACACATATTTAATAAAAGTATGCTAATGATATTCTGGAAATCCTTCAACCACTATATATAAATATATAAAGTATATCAATAAATCTGGAGACAGTATGAGCACCATTTCACTAATTTCTTGTCCCGATGTCACTGGGACAGGAGGGAGGGGAAATATCCCCAATGGATAGCAAAATGTCTAATTCTCCCCACTGTATAATGAGCTATATGTACTATATACTGTATAAGCTAAAGATAAACTTTGGGCCAAAGCTTTCAAACTGCCAAGTGCACTGCATGTTTTTGGCCCCAGGAGCAAACAGAAAACCGTAGCTTTTCTTCCGATTTCTTTCTTTCCATAGTACATATTCCGTGTATACTCACAGGGCTCTGCAGGATCATGGTCACTCGTTTCTTTTGATCCATGACATTGAAATCCTGCCTGAGGTCAGCCGCCATGTTTCTATTGCGCAGATATTCTGGGTCATCTTCTGAACAGCGGTCAAAATACTTCTGCCCGGTTGAGGGAGGCGAGGACACAGGCTCGGGGGTAGTTTGGCTACTCATCTTTTTTGGTTGCTTTGATCTCCACTACACATGAATCCTGTGAAGAAAGATAGATTATAGTAAATAATGTAAATTACTCTATCCCAAAGAAAACAAGGATGGCATTTAAAACCTTAAAAGGATTGTTTGATATTTGCTGGACTCAAAAAGAGCAAGTTGTTCAATATATTTGTGAACTGACTGTGATGTTTAGGTCATGCACTTGTATTATAATAACATTTCCATACACATTTTGTGACTTTTATATAGAGAAAAGAGAATAAAACTTCTATTGTGTTTGTGCTCCCAACATTCCCTGTTAAGCTGGCCACACACCTTACAACCATCGCAAGACTTTTGTCTTGCGATGGTTGTTAGGTAATTAAAAAAACGTACGATCTGCCCATCTTGGACAGGCAGATCGTACTTGCGATAATCGCATGCCCGCCCTGCTGAGGGGCAGGCTTCCGATGACCGCAATGCTGAACGGGCAGTGTGCGCTTGCGCACACCGGCCTGTGCGGCATTTATCTCACGGCATTTATCTCACGAAAATCGTACGATTCTCGGCTGGTTTTCGAACATGCTTGTAAGACAAAAGTCGTGCGACTGTACAGTAGAAACGGTCGCACGCCTTGCACACACCTTGCAATAATCGTACGATCGCAGGATTTCCCGCGATTATCGTACGATTATCGCAAGGTGTGTGTACCTTAAGACCTTAAAAGGAGACTGCCATATGCCCACACCATTTCCCATTAGAGATGGAAAGAAGACTGGCATGTGCCCCCCACCATTCCCTGTTAGTGTTGGGAAAAAGACTGGCATGTGCACCCACCGGTCCCTGCTAGAGCGGTGAAGAAGACTGGCATGGGCCACCACTATTCCCGGTTAGAGTGGTGAAGGTGGCTGGAATGGGCCCCCACCATTCCCTGTTAGAGTGGTGAAGAAAACTGCCATATGCCCCAACCATTTCCCATTAGAGATGGAAAGAAGACTGGCATGTGCCCCCACCATTCCCTGTTAGTGTTGGAAAGAAGACTGGCATGTGTCCTCACCCTTAACTATTATAGTTGTGAAGAAGACCTGCATGTGCCTCTACCATTCACAAATTAGAGCTGAGAAGAAGACTGACATGTGCCTCCGCCTTTCACCATTAGATTTGAGAAGAAGACTGGGTAACGGGATGAATCTGGACATCCTAGTTTACTTTAAGGCACACTAAAATCATACAGTATCAATGCAAGCAGATTTCTATGAATAGACACTTTTAAAGAGCATCTGTACTGAGGAAGTATATAGATTGCCATTGCTATTCTTTAGCTTTGGAAAATACTAGTTCACTTGTATGGAAAGAGAGCAATTCACTAGCTGTAAATGGCCCTGTAACAATCTACTGTTAGGGACTGAGTGTGCAGGCCAGCTGAAAGGCAGATTTTCGCCTGAGGCTCTGAAGACTCCTGCAGGCCACAGTCGCCCAATTCACACACAACTTTGAACTGTGACCTTTATGGGTAAGCTACAAAGGCACTTTTTAATTGCTTGCTTTATGAAATGTATTGTGCTGCATATTAAGAAGCAGTGAGTAGGATCTTCATCAGGCTCGATGTTATTCAATAGGAATCTGCACATAAATCCTTATATGTTAACTCACGAACATATTGCCTACACATGTCCTGAGGAGAGCACATTGGAGCATCTACACGCGGATGTGTTTACAGACTGCTAAAAACTACCTGTGCCTATGTGGGAAACATCGTTCCAGCGATGGACACCTGTGGCAGGGCCGATGGATACTTGGATATGGGTATAATATATGCACTGTATGGCCATTTTAATTTGTAGGGTCATATTACAGTCTGGTAAGCAGCACAGCGTGTCTGTTTTGGGTGAATTCAATGTGGTTACTTACTATTTCAATGAAGGGTAATACATACTTTATGTCTCATGTGTGTCCAAGAATGAAAGGGAACTGTAGCGAATATCAAAGTGACCGCATGGGATGACACAAAGGAATGAAGGTCATTTTAAAGTAACTCAGGAGTTAAATCTTAAAAGTGCATTCAAGTACCTGAACTATGAACAAAAATATATCTTATTTGTGTATCACTCGGTTGTTGTCAAATCATCTCTGAACTGATGCTGACACTGTCCTTCCTTCTGGAGGGTGGCTACTTTTGTCCCCCATGGTCCCTATGTGTGTTGCAAAGTAGTCACCGCTCCAAGCTTGCTCTCATGATGGACTACAATCTCAATACAAACTAGATTGTAGTCTATAACAGAAGTGAGCTTGGAGAGGTGGCTACTTTGCAACACACATAGGGACCATGGGGGACAAAAGTAGCCACCCCCCAGAAGGAAGGACAGTGTCAGCCTAAATACTGAGATGATTTGAGGATCTACAGCCGAGTGATACACAAATACGCTTAGAGCTGAACAGACATGGTTTATGATGTTTGGTAGTTTAGGTAGGCCTGAGCTGCTAAAGATAGGTCTGAGCCAGACCTCCTCTGAAGCTACGTTGGCACCCACGTGTGCAGCTGCACATAAACAAAGGGGTGGGATTTCTGTGCTGACATCATTGACCTTATATGGCCACAGCCATAAAAGGTAAATGCCATTTACAAAATATAGGCATGTGGCCATATTCAAAGACATCATTGCATCCCGACCCTTTGCTTATGTAAACTTTTTGGGATGAGCTCCTTCTGGGTTCAGAAGAATTCTGGATTGGGTTCGGTCCGAACTTGAGTTCATCCCTAGTGTTGTTTTGCTATTCTTATTAACATGATAATAAATAAACCCTTTAAAGGAGAACTATGGGGTGAGTGCTTTTCACTCACCTCATAGTTCTAGCCGACCTGTGACAATGAGACTGTCACAGTTCGGCTCAGTAGATTGGGAGGTGAGCGAACACATACCGGGTTCGCTCACCTCTCGATCCTGTCACAGCTCTCTGCCGTGACAGGGGAGGGGCTCGATTCCCCTCTCCCCGCTCCGATCTGCCAGCGCTGACTGGCAGAACGGACGGGGGAGGGGCCGGGTACAGCTGGCTCTGCCTCTATATAGGCAGAGCCAGCTGTCACTCACGCAGCTGGGCGGATCCCGATGTCAGGGTCGGGATCCGCTCCGGCTGCGGCGTCTCATTATACAGCGAGCTGTAGCTCGCGGTATACTGAGCTTAGGGTAACGGGAGGACACTAGTTTGTGTCCTCCCGTTACCCTAAGGAGAACTATGGGGAAAAACACTGACCTCATAGTTCTCCTTTAATATTTAGCATTTTCAAGGCCAAAAAAAATGTTATACTTTTTTTATGGTTATGGTTTTTCTTATTTCCTGAGCTGCACCCCATCAACTTATACGTACAGTATGTTCAGATACTCATATGCTATATGTTAACTAAGCACTATTCATTTTTTTTTCTTTTTAATAGGTGGGTGTATATACCATATACCAGTTTAGCAGGCTGCTGGTCTGCTGTTTGTAATTATAGGAGGAGTGCAGAGAATGTTTTGTTCATTATAAGAGCCTGCCTAAAGCTGCCCCTCAAATACATCTCATGGACAACCCATTCTGCCAAGCTGGAAATACACATTCAGCCCTACAACCTCACTGAACAGGCTGTATAGCAAGGAGGTTTGTGGGAAGTGATTGTTCGCTATGAGATACTGCATATTACACATCACCAGTGGTCTATCTATTACCTTATGAATGAGTTCTTATTATAATAATAGTATCATTGTAGTTATTATCATAGAACACTAGCAAGGTTTCCCATACTGAGAACTGTAAAGGAGATTGTATGATGCTATACCAGCCTCGTTTCCAGCGCGTTACCTTCCCTGACATCGTTTCAGCCCTTTCTGGTCCAAGCACTTAGCACAATGATGCTGATGAGCCTGTGAATGCACCCTCCCAGCTCCATCAGTGCGGTCTGCGGAGAGGATTAGTGCCTGTCAGATCAGTCTGCTGCCCCAGAATTGTACATCCCTATGCTATTAAAATGCACGCTTCAGCACTTCAAAATTATGCTATAAATCTAACATTGAGCTACTGGCACCAGGTTACCAGCCATGCTGAATGTGCTGTCTGCAAACAGGCCTGAGGAATTAACCCTTTTCCTGATGCCCTAGATTAAAAACAGGCGTCAATTAAAAAAAACCCCCACCTGTATGGAATAAAAATAAACCTGCACAAACCCAAAGTGCCAATTAGATGTCGCTTCAGCTGATCCTTCCGCTCTCTTCTGCCACCGGAGCCCTTAGGTTCAGTGGAACCGAAGGGCTGCTGTACGGGCTATTCACTATAGCCCGTACAGCAGCAGAAGGAAGTCGAGCCGAAGGCATATACTTCGTTTCGAAGTGACACACAAAGCGCGGCGATCGGCCTGCCGAAAGCCGGCGGTAAGCCCCGCAAATGACAGCTGGGCGGAGCCAGCATTGATCTCACGGCTGGCTCCGCCCAGTTGTAATGACAGTTCAGAGGCCCCAAATTACCTGAGGACGCTGATCTGTCATTAAAAATTAACAACTGGGCGGAGGCAGCCGTGACGTCACGGCCGGCTCCGCCCAGTTGTTATTTATTGGCCGGGACCTGCTAGAAGACTCTCGCAGGTGCCGGCCAATAGGAAACAGTTGGGCGGAGCTAGCTGTCACTGCTAGCTCCACCCAATTGTTTTTTTTTCTTTTAAAAAAAAATCTTTTTTAATTTTACTATTTATTTACATTTTAAAAATATTTTTTCAACCTTTTAAAAAAAAAACTCTTTTCATTGATTTTCTATTCTGCTCGGTACCAAGGAGGTGAATTTGGCTATTCACTCACTGCCGTTCAGCCCCTGGGAGAATAGGGGCCAATCCAGATGTTGGCAGAGCATTTTAGGCTAACCGAAGTGCTGCCGAAGGCAGCCGATGTACGGCTGATTTCAGCCAATGTATGGCTGTAATCAGCTGTACAAGCTTTGTGAATAACCTCCTTAGTATATTTTCAGGTTGACTGTAATATTAGGATAATACCACATTATGGCCACTAGATGGGGCTCAAGAGCAGAGGAAATAGGTCTCCGTACTTCCTTGGTACAGGTTTCCTTTAACACATATTTCTAAGATCATTTGCAATATGCTTATCACTTTCACATACATATTAGGTATAAAAAGTATAGTTTCCATTTACAGTGATGGAATATTGTTTGAGGAAATCAGGGGTTATCCTTAAAGTCAAAGTTGCAGATGATGTATTTATGTTTTTTGAGTGGTTGTAAAAGTCATCTGTTAACTGAACGTAGGTTCAAAACTCAAGTTTCAAGTTGTTACTAAGAGACGGACTTAAGGCCCGGTTCACACCTGGGCGTTTCGTAGCGCGTTCCTACGCTCTGCAAAACGCTCAAACACCGAAATCCCATTATTTCCTATGGGTATGGTTCCCACCTGGGCGTATTACAGGCCGTATGAACGCGCTACAAAACACCCTATGCCCAAAGAAGTACAGGAGCTTCTTTGGGGCATATTTGCCATGCGTATCCATTGGGATACAGCCAGGTAGCCCTCGGAAACACGCGTTTGTTGCACGTTTTTTACCGTGAATCGCGACAAACGCGCACTTTCGATACACCTAGGTGTGAACCCAGCCTAAGGCTTTTTTTACGCCATAGGCTGGGGGAGGAGGATGGGGGTAAGATTTTAAAATACATTCTGAATGCATATGCATGGAAAAAGCAATGTCTGTAAATGAGTCTAGTTTACAGCACTGCGGTGAGTTGCAGTGCATCTAAAAAAAGGTATTAGAGCATATACACAGCAATACACAGCACACGCAGATGTTGTACAGACTGTTAGAGCATGCACAGACAGAGCACATACATTCAGAGCATACTATTCAAATCGCTTCTAGTCAGCACCCACTGAGGCAGAATGCACATGCAGAAAAAGCATGTGCCTTAAGCGAAGAAGTCTTTATGTGTACTTACAGTCAGGGCACACACAGAAGAGCAAATATAGCCACAGAACATAAAGACAGCACACACATGCACATTCAGACAGGGCATGCACAGACAGAGCACATGCATTCAGAGCATACACAAGTAAAAGTACTCAAAGTCAGCACACAATGAGGCAGAATGCACATGCAGAAAGATCATGTGCAGCAAGAAAGTTGCATTAAGTTCTATGGGCACAGCGTGGTGCGAGAAGGTTGTGCCTCGTCGCATCTCGCTGTGCTGAAAGAAGCACTGCCTGCAGTACTTTTGTTTGCACGCACTACCACAATGCATTTGGTGTGAACTAAGCCAGTTCAAAACAAAGCAAATTGCTTTGTCTTGCATTGGGGCAGCGCAGTACCAACGCACCTGGCATGAGCTCAGCCCTACAATACCACTTGTTAATGTAGTTATGAGTATTGTTAGAACATCATGGAAGAATTCATATTTCTGCCCTTAGTGTAACACTGATGTTTTTCTTGCATGTAATGCATGGATGTGTACATACATTTGATATATGCAGCAGTTTGCCCTCCTTCTCTCCAGTGACAGGATCTCTTTAAGATGCATTGGGGTGAGTTTCAGATCAACCAACAAAACTAAGCAGTGCACGCACATGTACAGTTTGGCTTGCAGTATCTTTGCTTATTATAAAAGTTCAATAAGAAGAAGAATTGATTTAACGTCAATGTCATAATAGATCAGTCTAACACATAGGGACTCTGTACATCTTCAGCTCTCAGGGAACCCCTACTCATAAATATTATATCTACAGTTCATGATACATTAGTGTGGACAGGATGCTGATATATAAAAATAAAAAAGCATAGTAATAATAAAAGAGTTAAACAAATGATATTAATGGCCAGACGAACAATCGTTCGCTGCATCTTCGTTCGCTATTTAATAGGTTGGGCTTGATGGACTAATGTCTTTATTCAACCTCAAATACTATGTAACTATCTCACCAAGCTCCTGGCAACCCTGGCCATCACTGGTTGACAAGATCTCAGCGGGACATCGGCAAGAGCATCCCAGGTTACTAAGAACTGAGCAGAGAGATGTGTATGGCCCTTACACATCTCCCTACCCGACTCTTAGCATCTTGAAACACTGCAAACATTGTGCAGCAGAGCAGTCATTCCGCTCAGCCTGCTGTTCTCCCAGAAGATGCCGTCTGAGGCAATGGCCTCTGGCTCTCTCATTATAGGGACGGCCCTGCATGCTTAGATGCCACTATTGTACCTTTACCGGAGAACTATGAGGTGAGTGATTTTCACTCAGCCTCATAATCTGAGCCGACCTGTGACAATGAAACTGTCACAGGTCGGCTCAGTAGATCGGGAAGTGAGCAAACACATACCGGCGCTCGCTCACTTCTCGATCTATCCGTGCAGAGAGCTGTGACTGTCACTCACGGCTCCCTGCAGGGATTCCCCCCTCCCCTGTCCGATCCTCCAGCGCTGACTGGCGGAACGGACGGGGGAGGGGGCGGGTACAGCAGGGATCAGCCGCCTGTTTTTACTGCCCACTTGCCGTCCGTCTGAACAAGGCCTTACACTGGTAAATAGATGGAAAAGGGCACACTGGTGGTCAATTCTCCTAACATTAGTGGTCCATGGATAACCAAAAAGATCAATGGTGTCAGCAGTTACATATCTGAGAGGCAGAAATTGCTCAAGGAACCCCCAGCAACCTCGGAGGAACCGCAGGGATTCACGGAACCCTGCTTGGGTTTCTACGAGGCTGCATTAGATGTTGATGAAAGGATGTCAGATGTTGCTAAGCTAGGAATGTAATTTTAGGAGAGAACCAGTGTGGCGATGAATCGCTCACTTAAACTCCCACCTCCTCCTGCAGAGGATGGCAGCATCTTGTTGGTTGCTAGGATACAGAAGGAAGAAGGATGCAGAACATGATGACTGCACACACGCAGAACAAGTATCATTACAGCTGCTGCCAACCAGACACACCTATTACTGCCAAGCAAAGGCTCACAGTCTGTGCCAGCAAAGCCCAACAGATTTAACACTGATTGATGTCACCAATGTCACAGCTTCTGAGTGGCAGCCAATTTACTTACAGAATTTCAAACACAGCTGAACCGGAGGGGGGAAGCCAGTTTCTGATGATGCTTGTCACACATATTTACAGGAGCATGAATCAGAGAAAGATCTGCAGAACAAAAAAGAACATTGAATGTAAAATTTCCAGGCTGTCATTCAAATTTGTGTCATCTCTTTAACATGCAGCCCGGTATCATATATGAGCATCCTCAAAAAGGGTCAGATAGGTGACCTACATGCCCCACCCAACTCTGATCTCCTTACCACCTCTTATTTTTCTCCATGCCAGGTTTTCATGGCCCCATTACACATCCGTTAGTAGTAAAGGAATTTTCCTGGTTAAATACAACTTGAGTCCAGCTGCCTGGTAGTGATATGGAAGCCCCACGCCTCACCGCTTTCAGACCTTGCTTCTGCACCAACTGCATGTGAAACCTGCCCATCCATTAAGATTAAGGCTACCATATTTTCAAAAAGAAATCCAGGGACACCCTATGGACTAGGCCCACTTCTAATCACGCAGGCATGAAAATCATGCATGGAGCGCAGGGGTCAGGTGTGTGTAGTACAGCGTGTTGGGGTCAGGAATTAGTAACAAACAGGCCAGCATACACCGTAGAACCAAAAATAACCCCTGCGTCCCCACTACCATTCCACACCCCTTACATCAGAGACTTTTATACTGCACGCAGTGTTTTCATACCTTTGATTCAAAGTAATTCCATCAGTTGCTTCTACCACAAATCATTTACTGAATGCTAACACACAGCATCATTCAATGTACTTCCTGTAAGCCCAGCCATCAATGGACCCCTAGGAGTATGTAATCATGTGGGTCTGGGCTCACAGTACAATGCAGAAGAGAACAGCACTGATGTCACAATGTCAGTGCAATTCTATGCAGCTTTCAGGACTACTGATGTATTGGAGTCCCTCTAAACCCACCATGTTCAACAGTGGGTGCAGGCTCCTCTAGCTCCTTTTCCCACAATTTGTTGCTGGGTTCCCACAAGCCCCTGAGCTCCTGGACACACCCAGGGGATATATATCTCTGATTCCCACCAGTCCCGAGAAATCGAAACTACAAATCCTATCATGCATCTGCCACTGAGAATCATATCTGTGTGGGATTTGTAATTCCGCCACAGCTGGAGAGCCAAAGTTTGCCTACCCCTGGTATAGAACACTCACTACCCTACTCCACAAACCTTACAATACATAAGTACAGTGGTGTATTTAGGTTTTGTGCTGCCCTAGGCAAGACTAAGCTTGGGCACCCTCAATCTAAATTTGCCCCACTCCTTCCTGTTTAAGACATTTTGCGTAACCTTTCAGTCGCTGGATACAGCATGCACATGGTATCCAGCTTCTGACAGATTGCGTTAGTAGCGTAGCAGGGAAGACGGCGTCTCAGGTGGGCTGTAAATGATCTCTTGTGGGCTCTGCAGGGTCTCAGCCTGAGCCCACCATAGACCAGCAGAATCCACTTGAGTAGCCCCAGAGTCCACCATAGATCCTGCACAGCCCACCATAGATCCCGCACAGCCCACCATAGATCCTGCACAGCCCACCACAGATCCTGCACAGCCCACCTGAGACCCTGCACAGCCCACCACAGACCCCTAAGAGCCCACCATAGCCCACCTGAGACCTTGTAGAGCCCACCACTGACCCCGCACAGCCCACTATAGACCCTGCATATACCAGCTGAAACCCCACAGAGCCCACCTAAGACCCCACACAGCCAACCATAGAACCTGCAGAGGACACCACAGACCCTGCACAGCCCACCTGGGACTTTTAGGTGGGCTATGCATGATCTATGATGGGCTTTGCAGGGTCCCTTTTCCTGCACACATGTGCTGCTCCTCTTACCTGAAGCCCCCCAGCCTGCCTCCAGGTCATCCTGCCATCAGATGGTGGGGTACAGGCAGCCCTGAGCCTCCCGCAGCTTCGCCGGCCAAGCCACATCTCACTCGGCTCTGGCCCAGCCCTGCCTCGGTCCCTCTTCCACCCCGCCTCAGGTCCCACCTCCTCCTCCTCCACCCGGCAGCTCTCTCAGGTAAATTAGGCGGCTGCGAGACACAATGAGTGGCCGCCTAATCTGTCTGATTAGGCAGCCGAGGCTCAGCTCCCCATACTGATTTGGCGGTGGAGTTTTGCCGCCCCCCTGGAAAGTGCCACCCAAGGCCTTGTTTGCCTTCCGGTGGATACGCCCCTGCATAAGTATACTTTCCAAATCTGTTATAATGTATTTTATCATCAAATAACCTCTTGCTTCTTTCTTATGAACATGTAAATACAATACAATTCTGTTTAGCCTTTCTTGTGATCCCAGCACCCCTACCAGTGAACACTGATATTATGACTTCAAAGCTAAACCTATTTTGTTTCATCAGCAATGAATCTATGACAAAACTGCTTTAGCAAGGGGGTTGCAATACTGCATGAGCAGTGCTATATAAAACACATGAGCCACCACCTTGAAATCCTTTATTTAGACAACATATTTACAGCCGTGCAGATCCCTGAGGCAGGAAAACCTTGGTTCAGATTGTTCTAAAACACTCATACAGCATAAGTCTAGAGGACTCATTATAGATCTATTTATAGAGGGTTGAAGGGCAGATTCCCCCAAAAACAAACCATACATGTTCTGAAGAATCATTTGCCTGATTTAACCCCTTAGTGACACAGCTTCAGAAAATGTTTTCGTTCCCGGGGACCAGAGCAATTTTGACATTTTTGCTATGTGTTTGCTTTACCATATTTTCTATCTTCCTCATTCATTGCACCTATACACATATTATTTACTGTTTTTTAAAGAACAAAATGGGCTTTAACTTGATGTGACATACCCATATATAAATTCCTATTTTATTTTTATTAAAAATGCAAAAAATTAAAATAAAAACAAACACATTTTACATAGTTTTGGCAATAATAATGTGTACATAATAAGTGTAGCTAACAGAAAGTAATTCACAATAAATTATTTTATTTGTCCTGATTTATTGGGTATATCATATCTCTGGGATTGCAGTTTATTTTGGGTGTTACAGGTCACAAAATACAAGGAGTGAAATACATTTTTAGTCTGCAACAATTTTAGAATGTGGTATGTTTTTCTCCTATTATTAATAACCTCCTAAGCAATATATTTTCTTATAATGTTTTTTATTAAATGTATTTTTTACATTATTTTTTTTCAATTTTTAAAAACTTTTCTCTTTTTTTAAATTTTAGAAACGTTATTTTTTAAATGTATTAAATTTTTTTTAAAACTGGGAGGTACTAAGGTTTTTTTAAAATAATTTACAAGGGCTTTGATACTTATTATCCCTGAGAAGAATACAGTGTTCTCCTCAGAGATACTTTGCATCCATTTGTAACATACTAAGCTGGCTTGCAGCTCCACACAACAGTGACCTGCAATCCAGCTTAGTGGCTGTCATGGCTCTGTGATCACAGCGATCAGCTAATGCAGTGATCACGGGGCTGGGACCACCTAATCTGTCGTTGAGGTTCTGCCTCTGACCCCGAGGGACCCAGCAACAGCAGAAACTTCAAGCTCCTTCACAGAGACAAAGCTTAGGGACTGTTCCATACTGATTATTGCACAGTCCTAGAATAAATATACCAGGACACAAGAAGTAAGAATACATGACAGGGGTAGGACATAATGATCACATTAACTAACAAGTCCACTAGCCACAATACACCATCTCAGGGACAACTCACACATTGCTGCAGAGACTAACCCATCCAAATAATTGTAGGTCCACTTCAGTTGACTTCGATGAATCGACCAGTCCATACCAGGGACGGGTTCCCTCGAAAAAAACTCCAACCATCACAACATTTTCGGCCTGCACAGACCCAAACTTCTCACCCAAACACTTAGTATCCAACAAAACACCAACCAAATCACCATGCAGAGTGGGCGGACGGGAAGTTCACTCGCCATGTGGTCAGACCCCAACTGATGGAGAAGATCCACCACCCCCTCAGATCATACCAGAAACCCCACTGAAGAACCACTCTTTAGCCAATAAGACTGGGTACCTGCTTCAAGCACTGACCAAAACTTCTTACCCTTTCACCTCCCTGTCTCCCCTGCTCAACCTGTCATGTAGGCCCCAGGTCAATAGTCTCTGTCTCATTGCTCCAGGTTTATCTCACGACTCTTATATTTAGACAATATTTGTTGTTTGTTGTTTATCTCCGAGTCATCGCACATGCGTAGCTACCCAATTGATGACTGCCGGCGGCCATCTTGGTGATGGACGCCGGCAGAGAGAAGAGGGGACGTTCACCCGCCGGGATGAGGTATCCCGCCGGGTTCACAGAGGCATTTATTTGCATGAAGTTCAGTAGAACGATAGTCCTCTGGGCTTAACTCCCAAAGGGGCCTCTCCAGCAACACAACCTCCACATTCTCTGTCCTTGCCTCTACTAGCATCTTCAAATGTAATTTTCTGTATTGATGGCTGTGCCCCTGTGGGGTAGGTTGTTCCCTCATTTTCTCTCCTGGTCTATGTAACATTCTCACTACAAATTAATAAACTAAACATGACATTGTAGTCCATCACGGGAGGGTGCTTGGAGCGGTGACTACTTTACAACACACACGGGGTCCATAGGGGAACAAAAGTAGCCCCCCTCCAGAAGGAAGGACAGTGTCAGCACCAATTCAGAGATGATTGGAGGATCTACAGCCGAGTGATACACAAATAAGATACATTTTTGTTACTAGGTATTTTAAAGATTTAACTCTTTAATTACACTTTAATTACATCTGCGGATACATTTATATTAATTTACATAAGTGATTTTTTAAATATTTCTTACCCTTCTCAATTCTAAAGGTATCTTTGACATTTTTGGACTCTTATGTGGGTGAGCTTAAAAAAATTGGATTTTTTATCTCCTCATTTATGTGACTTTCACTGTTACAAGGCTATAAAGACCCCAGTGGGCGCCCCAGCTGTCCCTATGGGAGTTCCCTCCATGTACACATCACCCATGGAACCCAGCAAAATATAATATAGTGAGAAGAGCCAGAAGAACACAGCCAAGGAAAAAAAAAAAGAGAACCCAAAGAACACA